GGGGGGGGGGGTTGGTTGTGCATGTGCATATACTCATGTTCGCATACCGTATACATTAATGTTTGAAACATTGTCATATCAACCAGTTTCAACCGGCAACCTATCTGACCTGGCTTTTCTTAATAATACTGATGTGTTTGAAAACACCACCTTCGTATGGTTTTAATATTGTGCTTTTCTGTTACGAATCGCGCATTCTATCCCTTTATTCTTTTACTTTATGGGACAATATATTGAGTTGCATTGTAGCCTTACAAAGTGACTTAACTTTTACATATAAATTTTATTACATTTCAGTAACGCCAAATATTAATGTTACTTGTCCCAATACCACTACATTGACTAAAGGTGATAACTTTACATGTGTATGCAGAGGAGAAGGTGGCAACCCTCCTGCAAACGTTACCTGGTATAAAGATGGCAAACAAATTGTCACAGGAATCGTAATAGCAATTTTGCCTCTCATTGATGTTGATGAAGACGACGCCGGGACATACATATGTGAAGCCAGAAGCCACGTGAAGGCAAAGAAAGAAATGATCATTAAAATAATTGTAAACTGTAAGTACATAATTGGTTTTTTTTTTATTTATAACACCTTTATGTGACAGTAAATTATTCTAATCCCATCATGCATATTGAATCAAAGTGATAACTTCACATGTGAATCGCAATGTAAATAGGCCGTTGGATGAGGGTCGAAAATATTCAATTCCGTAGCACCTCTCGTGTAACTACATAATTTTTACATGAATCTATAGATTATAACTTAGTTAGAATCCACTTCCCCCCAAGCGAAATAGTTGCACAAATTGAAGTACAAGCTCTTCAAAGTTCACGCTTCCTCGTGTTTCGGAGTCCATGAACCGCCATTGTTGTCCAAGATGACATCGGAATATTTAAAAAATATATGATATTTTTATGTTCTGTGCATTTTAATGGAGTTTACCAAACATTCTGAGCCCAACACCGCGGGAAAACGTCTGCGCATGCGTCAGCCTTACCTGTAATAGTATTGCGAACTTGATGAGAAGCTGTTCCGAACGTTTCCGAAGTCTCAAAATGGCGGTAAAAAGGAGTGACTTGATTGTGAGATTCATGTAAAAATTATGTAGTTACACGAGGGGTGCTACGGAATCTGTTTTCTAAGCATATTTTCGACCCTCATCTCACGGCCTAAAAGGAGAAGTTGCATGGCAACCCTCTTCCAGACGTGACTTGATATAAATGGAACGAGCACAATGGCAAACGGAAGGTGTCTCATGCAGGAAAAGAAGAAGCAATATTGCGTTAATAATTATTAGGACAATGGGGCGTTCACATGTGTAGCCACAAGAAGGCAAAGAGTGTACCAACAATTGAATTAATTGTAAGCATGTAGTGTAGGTATTGATGAATCAGGTATCATGCACAGTATATGAGACGATGTTTAAAGAGTATTAGGTCTACTTTTTTTGGTTAGGTAAACCATTCTGTTATTGCACGTGCTTGCTGTAGTTTTTAACTATACACATTTCATAGTCATTAGAATGGTCATGCTGTGAAGCTGATAATGCATGTATGTTCTGACTAAAAAGTACAAACATCATTAAAGATAATTGTTTAAACTTTACTTTTTGTTGCATGTTGCATGCCATATATGGCATGCAACTTTCATATAGCTCTAAATTTCGTGTCGTGTTCGGTGAGCGGTGATCGGTGAGCGGTGAGCGTACCAGTCACGTGGCAGATTCGTAAAATACGACAAATACCGAGTTTCCGACGAGCATTTTCATGCCGGGTTTTCGTCGAGGAAACGCAAAGAAAATTTATATATTGATGATTATTCGCCGAAAATTTACATAATCGAGCGCCTTAGAAAAATAAATCAGGTAGGTAAAGCTTTACTGTTTTAACTTACCTTTGTTATTTGTTGTGATTTTGGAGCCGTTGTGCTCGCACTGATTATTTATCAACTATCACGCGTTTATATTTATATATCGTGAAAGCCTCAAAGCCGCGAACGCTATCAAAATACTCGATTTTTATATACTCAAACTGAAACGGAGCCATTGTGCTCGCACTGATTATATTGTGTGCAAAGCTTCAAAACTACAGCATATTTTGTAAACAACATGAAATATAAATATCAAACACAATTTAAATTATAAATATAGTAATACAATTGAAAGCCTCAAAGCCGCGAACGCTATCAAAATACTCGATTTTTATATACTCAAACTGAAACGGAGCCATTGTGCTCGCACTGATAATATTGTGTGCAAAGCTTCAAAACTACAGCACATTTTGTAAACAACATGAAATATAAATATCAAACACAATTTAAATTATAAATAGTAATACAATTGAAATCGAGATTGAAATATACAACGAAATAGCAACCATTGTGAAGTACGCATAAGATTCAACATGACATTCGATATAGTGTAAATTAACTCATTTCAATCACTCAAACGTCAAAATGATAAATAGTAATCATTTTCAATCTATTGTAGTAATTCACCGTTTCCACGGTTTTTTTATACCCATTAAAAAGTTACAATAAAGCTATATCTATAGGAAATAATAATAATAAAACTTTATTTAAGGATTACATTGATTATTTAATATGGTATTCTTCCCAATGGCCCTCGATATCTAATAGTAATATATAAAAAGAAAATCCTATTGAGAGTGACATTGACAATGAGTAATATGCTTACAATCGATGCATAATTCAATTGAATAAAGTAGGTTTTGAGCTTCTTTTTATAGGAATAAATTGAGTGATTTTCAATATCTTTTAATTCGGAAGGTAAAGAATTAAATAAACTTGCACCACTGAAGGAAATTTTGGATTTTGCTTGCGTAGTCTTAACTGATGGAACTTTTAAGTCTGTAATAGACGATCTAGTTGGAATTGGATGGGAGTCGCGAACAAAGACAAACAACTTACGAAGATCTGGCGGCCAAGATGTTTTTAAAGTATTGAATACCAATAATATTTTTCTCATTTTTATCAAATTAAAAATAGGTATCCAGTTGAGTTTACGGAAAAGCACGTTATTTAGTTATTAATTTAAATAAGAAATAACGTTATTTAGTTATTAATTTTTAAAGTAAATCTAACAGTCAATCGCTTTTGATAAAACCTTGACCCGCCTTGACATTGTTAAAGGGGCCCTACAGTAATTTTTTAGTCAAGTAAGTATTGTTTACATTTTTGTTATTGTCGCTACTTGACATGCGCATCACGGCATGCATGCGTCTTCCGGTGTGCGGAAGTACTCATATTCATGGATACTGCATGTAAGATACAGCCAAACGAATCTTCGTGGAGTCCCCTACTTAAGGTTACTTCACATGATGAACGTGCGTTTTAGTCTATTGAACATGCCGCAACGAATTTTAGGTGTAACTTTACCAAATATTTAGTGAAGAAAGCCAATAAAATGCTGATTTCGAAAATCGTCATTTGATGGGTGTTCTGTTTAAACATGTCCAGTATTGGCTGACTAAAGAAATACATAGGTATCCCAAAAAAATCAAAATATGTTTATAGTTTACCTCAACTTTTGTCCACATATATCGATTTGAATCTTCATAGGTACGGTAAAAAAACGTGTGCGGAAAATTTCTCTTCTTCAATGGTTTTTCTGATATGACGTTTCCTTTGACAACTTGTGAATTATCAGTGACAAATCCAAGAATCAAGGCATATCAGAAAAACCACTAAAGAAGAGAAATTTTCCGAACACGTTTTACCATGCCTGTGAAGATTCGAATTGCGATATCTAGACAAACGTTGAGGTATATGAAGGTACCTACATATTTACTCAGTCAGCCAATACTGAAAATGTTTAAACAGAACACCCATCAAATGAAGACTTTCGAAATCAGCATTTTCCTGGCTTTCTTCACTGAAAATTTGGTAAAGTTACACCTAAAATTCGTTGCGCAATGTCCAATAGACTAAAACGCACGTTCATCGTGTGAAGTAACCTTAAGGTGGCTTTTCAACGAAAAAACGACTGTAGGGTCCCTTAACCCTTTAATGTTATTATTACCGTCGCTTGCAACTAACTATTAACGGTCTCTTAAAAAAACATTCTCTATATTCGCGTGTTTCTGCTGGGGTCTACACCGTAGGCAAATTCGCGTGAGAATCTTAAGTTTTCTTATTTTGACATAATAGCTATTTTGCAATAAATATATTGATATTAAATTTATTGAATCGATATTTTAAGTTTCACGCCAGTTGTACCAAAGGTTATAAGCGCTATAGCGCATCATAAGCATAGCTATCTTATATAAGATATCTATGATCATAAGTTTCAGATGGCATGCAACATGTACGCAGTGCGTACCTATTTTTTATGAATTAATGACATACGAAAGTCCATTTAGTCGAAACATTCTTGAGATCCTCTGAGAGACCTTCTCAGTGAACCAAAGTTTGGTTGGAATCGAGATAAAGAAGAGTAGTATCATCGGCAAAGAGAGATATAGATCTGAGTAAGAGATAGATAAATAAAGAACAGGAGAGGTCCCAGAGGTTTTATTCAATTCGTGTGTACGAAATATTTTCGTGACAATGTTCATAGATAATAACCCAGGGTTCGTACAAAACTTGAAAGTCCTTGAATGTCCTTGAATTTGAAAACAAAAATTCAATTTGAATTCTTCTTGCTTTAGTTTTTGGATATTTTCTAAAATTGTTTGACATTCAAGACGGACATTTTGTTGAACTGATTTTGCATGTTCACATCTGACCTCATTATAAAGTTACGTTTTGAACAATTCAACGTCAGATTTTGCTGATTTCTAACGCCTTCTTCAGTATTTAGTCCTTGAATTTGCTGATACATGGCCTTGAATTCCCTTGAAAAGTCCTTGAATTTGACTCTTCCTGACATGTACTAACCCTGATAACCGTTTTTGACATTGCAGATACTTCAAGACAAGAGCGTTAAGTCGTCACGAAAATATTTTGTTTACTTCGGGTTGGATAGAACTCGCTAGTAAACCCCGTCCACTCGAAGATATTATAACAAACGTACTTGCAGGTTCGGTGAGTCCGGGATTGGACGCACCTCGGGTGGCTGGAAGTTGTTTTTTTATCCCATACACCGAGCCATACACACATTTGTAGCTCTTCGCGATATATTCGTCGATGTTTTGTGAACATTTTCCCGGCCAAAAAATCACTGGGCAAGAAAATACTTCTTTATCTACGTCTACATTACCTTTACTGCATTTTTTCTTTGGTTTTTCTTCAGTCTCAGTATGTTAGTCACCGAAAAAGTTCTTTAAAGTTTAGGTTTATCGGCTAAATCTTGTCCGCCATATTTGTTATTGTTATTGCAACGTAAACAGTTTAGCGGGTGAGTTCGGGCGAAAAGCAGGTGAGTTCGGCAAAAAGCAGGTGAGCTCGACGACAAGCTCACCTGCTCTAAACCAATCAGAAAGCCGCTTTTAACACAGGTATGAGATAAGAGTTCGAATCCCACTCGAGACAAGGAATTTTTCGTTGTTTCTGCAGTGTCAGAATGAAACAGTTTTAGAGTATAGAAAATGTTCAG